AGATTTAGTTGAAGTGGAAAAAGAATCATTCAAGTTTCAGACCATTTGCAGCCATCAATTTATCTGCGGTTTTCCAGCCAAGCAACGGAACTTCAGAGTAGCACTTAGTTTGAATGATTTCTTGCCCCACCCCCCACCCCCACCTCAGGCTGGTTTGAAACAGTGAATTAGTCAAGTAAAAACGTCCGTGGAGGTGAAAGAGCCATAAACAAGAGCATCATAGCTTCTGAGTTATCAGCCCGTGCAGGTTGCGCTGACTGGCATGCCACAACACCTCAAGGACGTCCACGGTGAAAGTGGAAACTTTCTGTCTCTCCCATGTGAAGGGCATCAGTAAGACCTTCACTGTGACACGCCACTGCTAACCTTCTTCTCTTTGCTTGAATCCCGAAGACTGGAGAAAAAAAAAAAACAGGAGCCAGATAGGTCCAGCAGTACCCAGCACTAACACTGAGTTTCCATAGATGAGCACAAGGTACTAAATTTGAATTTCAGATAAAAGCTGAGTGATTTGGTCTGGGAACCACTACCTCAGTGGGTAAGTGCTTGCTTTCCAAGCCTGGAGACATGAGTTCAAATCTCCTATCCATGTAAAAAGCTGGGCTGGCCACATGCCCTGTAACCACAGCACTGCAGGTCAGAGTGGAGACAGGGTGATTAGTGGGGCTTGCTGGTCATCAGCCTAGCTCCAGACGCAGCAAGGAACTCTTGTCTTGGAGTTATAAAGAAAAAAATGGGACACCCAAAGTCTTCCTCTGGCCTCTGGGCACACATACAGGTATGAGCATCAGAACACACATATCTGCAACACACGCGCACACACACACACACACACACACACACACACAGACACACACACACACACACACACACGCACTCACACACACACACACACAATTGTACTACAAGTTATGGCCTATATATGCATATCCCACAGCTGTAAACCTGTTGAGCAGCACCTCTGTATTCTATCATGATGTCTCTTGAAGTTCTTTATATGTGCAAGACCACGTCTAAATATGATAGGAATGTGCGGGGTGATCCTGTGGACTGGCCCATGTTCCACACAATTCACACTTACAATCATTCAACTTTATGACAACCCTGTCACTTAGGCGTCCTGTTCGATCATCTTACAAATGCAGGGAAGGGACATGTCAAGGGGCCTCATCAGTGATCCTATGTTGAAGAGTGTCAGTGTGTTCAAAGGTCTCGGTGATCTCATCACAAATTATGATTTCTAAGGAAATGGAAAGAGATGACCTGCTGCAGGGAAGGTCATGCATGCTCTTTTCAGATTTGTAATCATATAGAGGCCAGGGATGTGAGTACAGTTGATAAAATGCATGCTTGGAGCTCTTGATTGGATCCTCAGCAATGGAAAAACAAAACAAAAGACCAGAATAGTAGTGCAGATTTATAATCCCAACATTTGGGAACTAGAGGCAGGAGGAGGATCAGAAGTTCAGGGTCATTTGTGGCTATAGAGTGACTTCAAGGCCAACCTGGGTGGGCTACAGGAAACACTGTCTTTGAATGAATGAATGAATGAATGAATGATTCACATATAGTCATAAAATCCCATGAGCGTGTTCATAGTGACATTTGCAGTGTGTGCCTGGGCATACAGGCAGAGGACTGTTGTCAAAAGGACTCATTAAAGGAAACTCCCACCTCCATTCAAACTGCAAATGCAAGGTGTTAGCCACAAAGTCAATTGCTCAACAACACATCAAAAGAGGGACAGCCCATCCCAGGCAATGGGTGGTTTCAAGTTCATTAAAATTGACATTTAAAGTTCATTATGTGTTGCCTGGGTTTCAGATTTAACTGTGGTTTGTTTGGGTTTTGAAATTGTGGATTTGCTGAAAGTCTAGGCTGTTGGGTAATGAACAAGCAGTGGGTAGCACGGGGGCCACGGAGAGGATCTCACTGGAAACGCTAAAAGAGCCAGTGTGTTTACGGTTGAAAGATGATGACACAGCATTTTGAGAAGACTCAAAAGGAGAACCCGGCACCGGCCCGCCCGCCATGCCGTTTGCACATTTCTTTCCTGTTACTGATCTCTGAAGCGGCCAGAACTGGCAGAGATTCCACGGGGCTTGTTAGAAATGAATTCATGGTTTCTGTCAAGGAGAAACTGCCGACACTGAAGAAAAGGCGGATGACAGAAGGGAACCCACCTTGCAATTCAAAGTAATTCTATTTTTGTTTTCTTTTTAATTCCATAAACAAGGTGTGCAATGAGATGCTAAGTGACCCCGTCTTTCGCTGTAGTTACCTCCTGTTTCCCAGAGCCCTGGGGAACGGGGAGTGGGGAGTGGATTCCTGACATTCTGGATGTAGGAGGATCACCTGCTACAGATCTAGCTGAAGAAGACAGACTCCTAAGTCCTCTCAGCCAAACACTCACCAGGCACCTACCTGTCTGTGGGTTAGCTGATACTGAACTAATCGTTCTGAAATTCTTACAGTAGATATACTGTTGTAGCAGTAAACCAAAACAACTGCCATGATGAGAAATGAGGCCAAAGCCTTATGATTAATCTAGAAGCAACACCTAGAGTGTTTGGCAGCTCCTTTCCCACTCAATCAGTTAACAGCACTTCTCAAAAAGAGAAGACTGCTAAAATAAGAAAATGATGATGTGTACTGAGGATGTGGCCAGACTAGCAGAGTGCCTGCCTCCCATGCACAAAGGCCCGGCACCAGATAAATCTCACCTGTAATCCCAGCACTTGGGAGGTCGAGGCAGGCAGACCAGGAGTTCAACTCATCCTCAGCTACATATTGAGTTCTAGACAAGTCTATATGAGACCCTGTATCAAAATACACATAACAAGTCAGGTGTGGCCAGCCTTTAATGCCAACTCTTGGGAGGCAGAGGCAGGGGGTCTCTATATGTTTAAGGCCAACATGGTCTATATAGCCAGTTCCAGGATAGTCAGGGATCTCTAGTAAGACTTTGTCTCAGCACTCTACTAACACACACCCACATACATACATACACACACACACACACACACACACACACACACACACACACACACACACACACACACCCGCGCACACACACACACACAAAAA